CTGAGCAGGGAGCCTGATGTGGGACTCGATCCCAGGACCCTGGGATCATGACCTGAGCCAAAGGCAGACGCTTAACGACTGAGCCACCCAGGTGTCCCCCTTTGCCTTTATTTTTGATTAAGATAAAATGCATGAAGAAAGAGTAGAATATGGTGATGAGTATTACTTTTAACAGGAAGTAAAACCAGAAGCATGCATAATAAATTAAGCTTGCATTTTCTCTGCAGGTCACTTAGTGGGTGTTATGTGCTACGGAGTAAACAATTTTTGGCAGCTAGTTTAGTTTTCACTACTTCTAAGCCTCTGACAAATGATCTCTTAGATGATCTTTGGTCTTTTTTTTTTAAGATTTCATTTATTTATTTGACAGAGAGAGAGAGTGAGAGCAGGAACCACAAGCAGGGGGAGTGGGAGAGGGAGAAGCAGGCTTCCCGCCGAGCAGGGAGCCCAGTGTGGGGCTTGACTCCAGGACCCCGGGATCATGACCCGAGCCGAAGGCAGACGCCCAACGACTGAGCCACCCAGGCGTCCCGATCTTTGGTCTTAAAAAGGAAAACGTTTTATGTGTAAGTTTTAAGTTCAGTTTTGTTGTTTTTTGAAGGCTTTTTTATGTAAGCCATTTGTGTGAACTTTTGTTTTATTTGAATTTGAAATTTAAAAAAAGTTCTAAAAGTAGAGTCTGCTATATTGAACTGTTTTTCACATGTTTTACATTTAAAATTTAATTTGCCTTTTCTAGTTTTAGAAGATACTGAGAAAATAAAGTTTCTTCATTAAGCAGCCACTATTTATCAACTGCTTTTGAAAACTGGGAAATTATGTTTAGTGTGTATGACTTTAGGTTGTTTTCCCCCGCAGGAGAAATATATTCTTAGACCTACTGCCTATCCATTTATCTATTTAGCCTGCTTTAAGTCTCTTTAAAAAAAAAAATTTTATTTATTTACTTGAGCCTGCATAAGCGGGGGGAAGGGCAGAGGAGGAGGGAGAGAAAGAATCTCTCAAGCCGACTTTGCGCTGAGCACAGAGCCCGACTCAGGGCTCGATCCCACGGCCCCAGCCAAAACCAAGAGTCGGATGCTCAACCAACTGAGCCACCCGGGCACTGCTGCCATAAGTCACTTTCAAAGGTAAAGAAATAGTCATACAAAGTTAGATCTAGCTGAACATGTGAATTTCATGTATTTCCTGGTAATCAGCCCTGTTTTAAAGGCTTCTAGAGTTCTTTCAAAAGCAGTCATTGGTGCTGTATTTGGCATTTGTATATTGTTAAAACTTCACGTAAATGTAGAGGTACCAGATTGTGCACTTTATAGAATCTCTAATGCTAGTATCACTTTTCCAAGTATCAATAATCTTTGTGTTGTGAGATACACGTATACAAAACCTGTGTCTGGCTTATCTGATTGGAAAGTGAAATTTAACATTTTCCAGTAGTTACTTGTCAACATTCTAATGACTAATACCCACTAAATGTTTATTTAAGTCAAAATGTAAAGGATCAGTGGGTTGCTTAATCAGCTTTACAGGGGTAAAGTTAGAATGCAAAATCAAATCCCCTCACTCTCCAGAGAGGCGACTTGATGACTTACTCCTCTTTCTCTCAGTAACGTAGTAGAGCCTATTTGGCTTAATCAGCAGCCTTGGGAGTTGGAGTAATCATTTGAAATATTGAGTGGAAAAGTTCCTTGCACTTGGAAAAGTTAGGAGGCCAGGAGTGAGAGACATATCCACATCCTTTCCCTGGTGGCCCCTCACCTGTGAATTCGCACCAGGGTGGTAATAAAATTGTAGGAGCTCATTTTATATGAAACCATTAGCAGCCTGAGAATTTGGGGCTAGCTGCCTCTCATACTTTAAGACACTGGAAGGTGTCATTTATAAGCATGGAGGGCCTGAAAGAAGGCAGAACAAGCTTGTAAACTGTAGCTTTAGGCTCTGAACAGTAATCAGTTTGTAATACAGTTTAGTCTTAGGCTATCAAAATCACAAATGTGCCTTTAAGTATTGCAGGCAAATCCCATGAAACATCTGCCTATAAAAGGTAGAGACAATGGCTACTTATTTCCTCTTGTTACTGTGATATGTTATTTTCTTTTTGTGCCTTCATGGATGAGGGTGGAGGGGAAGGGGGCCATGCTGCAAGTGGAACAAGTAAAACTGAATATTTTTGTTAGTTTGTTTTTTTTTCTTTAGGTTCACTATGATAGATGGTTTAAGTATCACAGCTAATATGGAGGTTTTACTTTGAAACAGCTACTCGTGCATGGTTCCTGCTTCTTTGTGTGGCTGACTCTGAGTTCCCAGGCTGGGGCAAGTGTGTGTGACAGGCAGAGCTCTTGGGGTTGAGGGAATAGGGAAGCATTTCTAGCTTCCATTGGCTCATAAGATGGAGGGTTCCCCCCTACATTAGGGCAGAATTCAGGTTCTTGGTCACATGTGGAAATGGCAAATGGCCCTGAGTGTGGGCCAGCTCAGCTTCAGGATCTCTGCTGATGATCCCAAGAATGATTCTTTAACTGAAGCCATGAAGAAAACCAGATTAGGTAAGAATTCAAGCACTCATTTTGCAGATCGAAAACAGTCTACAGAATCTACCTGGGCATAACGATGTGCATATCAGGGTGCTCCAGGCTTTGCCTCCTGACCAGTAAAAATGTGACTGTTTAAAGATTTATTTATGATTTGAGAGAGAGAGAGAGAGAGCACATGCACATGTGAGCAGGGGGTAGAGCAGAGGGGGAGGGAGAAGGAGGGGGAAAGAATCTCAAGCACACTCTGCACTGAGCGTGGAGCCCAAGGCAGGGCTCAATCTTATGGCCCTGATATCGTTGTGACCTGAGCTGAATCAAGAGTTGGATGCTTAACCAACTGAGCCACCCAGGCGCCCCCAAATGTAACTTTAAATCTTAGTGCCCTGGGGTGCCTGGGTAGCTCAGTTGGTAAAGCGTCCGACTCTTGATTTAGGCTCAGGTCATGATCTCAGGGTCATGAGATCCAGCCCCATGTTGGGCTCCATGCTCAGCGCAGAGTCTGCTTGAGATTCCCTCCCCCTCTGCTCCCCCCCTTGCTCGTGCTTGCTCACTCTCTCTTTCTCAAAAAATAAATAAGCAAGCAAATAAATAAAATATTAAAAAAAAAAAATATCAGTGCTCCATGTCCCCACTGCCTGCCCTCCTCTAGGAGTTAGGTAAGTTACCTGAAATCTCCCTGGTTCTCCCCCTGTCAGATCAGAGCTGTCCCTGTGGCTTAGTGATGGCCCTCCTGCTCCAGGATCCTGTGGCAGTGAGAGTCCCAGGTTCATCTGCAGCCCTGTTGCTTGTCTCTTAATCTGGCCAGTGGGAAACAGCCTTTCCAATTCCCATGGGTGACCCAGAGAAAATTGTAGGCATTCAGTAATATTTCTGTGCTTCATATCAAGGTCTAGTTCTTTCCAAAGGACATCGATGGGACTGGGCAGGAGAGAGATGGCCCTATACCAAGAGATAAGTATTGTCTGGGAGAAACCACTGTCCCCTTTAGACCTTAGGTTCCTGTTGCTCAGGATTCCCATTTTAAGCCTGGTTCCTTTATAAGACTTTTTTTTTTTCCCCAAGGAGATGTTATGTTGATCCTCTCTTGAGGATCTCAGACTACTTCGGTACATGTCTGTCAGCTCAGAGATGGTGTTTATTCATTTGAAGGCAATCTCTGCAAACATATGTGTTCAGAATCACCAGGGTAGTGTTCTCCAGTGATGTGGTCAGAAAGGCTCTGTTCGAATGCCGGGCCTACCACGGGAGCATGAGGGACGCCTCAAATTCCATTTGGAGGCATCTTTGAGCTCGCCGAGTAGACCCCATGAGCAAAGCTCACCCTCCCAAGTTGAAAAAATTTATGGACAAGAAATTATCATTGAAATTAAATGGTGGCAGACATGTCCAAGGAATATTGCGGGGGTTCCATCCGTTTATGAATCTTGTGATAGATGAATGTGTGGAGATGGCAACTAGTGGGCCACAGAACAATACGAGGAAAGAGTATCATCATGTTAGAAGCCTTGGAACAAGTATAAACAATGGGTGTGTTCATCAGAAGAAATCAACTCCTTCCACATGTCCCCTCTCCATAGTACCTGTTTTACTACAATATAAAAATCAGGTCGTGTGCATTTTCATATTGAATTTTTTGTTAAATAAACTTTTATAATAGTCCAAGAAAAGAAAAGAAAAGAAAGGCTCTGTTCACTCTCACTAGCTCTGAGAGGTGCCCAAAGTTGGTTGGATATGGTTTCTCTACTTAGGTAGCCTTGCTTGCTGCCGCTGTGTTCTGCACCCCTCCAAGGGTGAGGCCCAGGTTGAAAGTAGATTGTTCTCATCCAGCAGAAGTGTGCTTGGATGCTGGCCACACATCCCCATCCCCTCCTGCAGAAGCAGCTCAGGGCATTCCTTGTTTAACTGTCATATGGGCCACTTAAGCAATGCTTTTCTGAGAGGCAGTGTGGGAGATATTGTCCTGATAAATTGTGAAATGCCTCTTTGTAAGCCATCCTGTTCTTTTTTTTTTTTTAAGATTTTATTTATTCATTTATTTGAGAGAGTGAGAGAGAGAGAGCACATGAGAGGGGGGAAAGTCACAGGGAGAAGCAG